TTACTTTAAAATTTTTATATAGTGAGCTGTAAAATCCCAATTGGGCTATTCAAAAGGCTAAGTTGTGAGTTTTTTTGAGGGCAACGCATTGGTGAGCTTGGAATCTGATTTGGGGACCTGATTTGAGGTGAATTTTGTGTTATAACTGCTGCCATAGCTCATTTAAAATCTCAACTTTTGGGAATCTTTTAGAAGGTTATTTCTTGGCCAACTTAGGTCCAAATCTAGTGATTCAAGAGCCTATATAGTGGAGGTTTTAGTGAGGATCATCGTGGTGAGACTGGTTTTGGCTGTTGGACCTTCATTTTTGGTAAATTCTTGTAAATAGTTGTTGCCATTGTTGCTGATTTTTAGGGTAGAATTCGGGTTTTGGTTGCATGTTCACGTTGGGAACTCCCAAATTGTGTTTCATTCTATTAAACAAGTTTCGAGAGTAGTTTAGGAAAATTATTTGGGGTTAATTGTGGATTCCTTTACGCGGACTCCACTTTTTCCATTTATACCACGAAATTGACCCGTCTCGGATTCTTGCAATTTTAGTATTTAAATGACCGTAACAACATAGTGACTCTATTTTTGATAGTGTATCAACATTTTGAGGCCTTTCTGAAAGTAAAAGATCTGGGAAGTGATTTTTGGAGCGCGCCAGATCTGCATTCAGGTAGGCTACGATTTCCCTTCTAAGATTGAACTCGAACATGTGAATGAATGTTGATTAGTTAGGATGGGGGTTGGGTAGTTATTGGATCATGCATAGGTGTTAAAAATCATATTTTCTACCTTAATCTAAGAATTATCGGGTAACTGTGAGCATGTGTATAGTTATTAAATGACCTTCTTTGATATATGGATTACTTGTATGTTTGAATACTGGTTATCAGAAGTATGTTGGGCCTTAGTTTAGGTTTGAGTAGGGTTTTCCTTAGTGATGCACGATTCAAAGTTGGTAGGACATACTTTAGCCCCGACGTCAGCTTAAATCCTTGTAGACTGGTGTAGCAGACTTGAGTTCGATAGTAACTAGACGATGAGCTCGCTCCAGCGATAGGTATTCTTATTTCATCGATGTTACAACTTCTCGAGTTACGTCAGTGACAATGAATTCCACTCCGTGATTCAAAGTTGACTTTCATTTTAGCTTCAAGGACTTACATTGGTAGCTAAGTGTGGATGGTGTTCCACTGGTATTTATGATTATGGATAGATAAATAATCTTTTATCATATATATCGACATCTTTGTCGGGTATACAGATTTAAGGTCTGGCCTCGACCATCCACATACTTATGCAGAGCATCCGGTTAGAGGTCCGGCCTCTAGTATGTAGAGCATCCGGTTAGAGGTCCGGCCTCAGTTACTCATATTTTGCAATTGGCTACTTATGAAATTCAGGTGAGCATCCTGTACAAGGTTCGACCTCCGTAATGTCAAATTCTACTATTTGGTTCGGTGTTCTTTGGCCTTGAGTTCTATTCTCCTTAAGTTATAGTAATTTTTTGTACTCGTAAGGCTTATGGGGGTCCATTCGGGTTTTTATTTAAACTTGCGCACGAGTGTACATTCTGGGCTTATGGGGGGTCCAGTTAGGCGTAGTAAGCTTATTTATATTAATTTTGTTAGATCTTTATACACTCTTGTCCATTCCTGTGTTACTTAGACTTCCGTTCTTGACCTCTAGTTTTGTGATCCCGTCATTTCATATTGCTTTACTTTTCTTGTTAAGTCTGGCTATGATGCCTACTGGGTACCTATTATTTTGTAATCATGCTACACTCTACATCTATTTTCATTATGTAGGTCCGAGCACCGGTAGTAAGCGTTGATCAAGTTTTGAGCATTCCTGGTCTGGAGACAGGGGTGAGCACACGACGTTTTGTACAATTTACGTTTCCATCTGTTTATGTAAAGACTTGTATTTTACTTTTCGAGATAGTCTAGTTTCGGTTATCCACTGTAGGGACTTGTACTCGTATTGTTTGTAGCTTTGTATTAGTGACTTCCAGGTTCTAGGAGGGATCCTTAATTGTATTTATGTTTTTGTGTGCTTATGTTGTCATAGTACTTTTTGTTAGTGTTTTTTAGTGTCTACCCTCACACCCATTAGATGTTTTTCTGGGGTACGGTTTGGCTTACGTACAGGTGTATTATAGTAGGTACCTTAATGGCTCGAGAAATTGGGTAGTGACAAGTTTTTGTCAGAGCCCCAGGTTCAACGGTCTAATTTTTACAGAGTTAATGCCTACAGAGTCCTGCGGATCGGTGCGGATTATCTTCGGGAGGCTACAGGATGTGTTTAGGAAGATAACCATTTTGTTTCAAATTCGTGTCGCATGTGTCTTGTTTGTTTCTCAAAATCTCAGTTGTTTCAATCTATTAATGGATAGCTCACACACGAGGCAGTTCATTCATGGGAGATGCACCTGGAGCCTTAACTTGGGGTAGACGTCAACCGCGAGGTCGAGGTAAGGCCTCTCAACACCATGCCCGGATAGGGAGGAGGAGCCTTATGCAACACATGTACTGCCACAGCCTGTGAGGCAGGGGCCTGCCCAACCACCACCTCACCAGTTGCAGCACCTGATCTGCATTCCCTCTTGACTTAGATATTAGCAGCTATTAGGGATATGCGACAGGCACCAGCCCCAGCTACACCGGCACAAGCACCAGTGCTGCAAGTTCAGCCTCCACTAGTTCATGTGGCTGCCCACCATACTAAGAGGTTAGAGAGATGCCATTGCGGAATCATAAGATGCTCGGGGCATTTCAGAGGTTAGCACAACCTATATGCTCAGGGTTAATTGGGGAGGATGCTCACGAAATCAAGCTCACTTGTCAGGAGCAGTTACAGTCATTATCCTTTTTAGAGTCGATAGGACCTGACTTTACCACTCATCAGTTCTATGGTCCAGCCAGGCAGTAGTGGCGCACGTATCGAGAGTCTAGGCTATTTGGATCTCCTCCTATATCTTGGAGTGAGTTCTCAGAGTCATTCTTGACCATGTTCATGCCACGGAGCGTCAGAGATCGGCTTCGTGATCATTTTTCTAGATTGGAGAAGGGCATTATGACTGTTTCAAAGTATGAGGCGAGGTTCCACGAGTTGTATCGCCATGCTACTTTGATCCTTCCCACAGAGGGAGAAAGAGTTCGTTGTTTTGTACGTGGGTTGCGATACCGTTGGAGGGTTGACACAGAGCAGATGGTTTCAGCTAGCTGTTCTTTTCTTGATGTGGTCGATCATGCCTGATCGATGGAGCATATTCATCGTGAGGCCCTAGGGGGCAGCAATAATAGGGAACTCTACCAGAGCAGCTATAGCGAGTCACAGACTAGGGGGAGGAACTCATATGATAGGCCCTTTGAGAGGTTCCAACAGGGTAAGACCAGTCCGCCTGTTCAGGCGGTATTACCTACTTTTGACGGAGGCCAATATATGCAGAGTGGGCATAGTAAAGGCAAAAATTTGAGGGGATCAGATTCCTTTCCTTTGTGTCGCGGTCGAGTTACTACAGGGCTTTCAACTTTGGGTTGTTATAATTGTGGTGTTCTTGACCATTGGTAAAGAGAATGCCCCCGGTGAGGTCAAGGGGCGATTGTACCAGCTACACCTACAACTAGACCAGTTTAAGTTTTGTCTTCTTCGTCTAGAGGAGGTGGTTAGGTTTAGGACCGTCCAGAGTGTCGAAAGGGTACCAACAGTGGATCTCGGGGAGGTAGGTCCAATTATAGACCGGGTGCATAAGGCAGAGGTGCTCAGGGCCATTTCTATTCAGCCTCAGCAAGGGCGACGACTGAGGCATCTACCAATGTCATCTCAGGTACGCTCTTCTTAGGCCATCAGCCTGCAATTGTAATATCTTATCCAGGGTCCACATTATTTTATGCATATTTTTATTTTGCTCCCCCATTGGGTAATAGGTCGGTTTCTTTGGCAGAGCCGGGTCATGTTTTGACCCCATTAGGTGAGTTCATAGTACTGGATCAAGTATTGCGATCTTGCTTAGTGATTATCCATGGTTATGATACTAGAGCTGATCTTATTATGTAGATATGATTGATTTTTATGTAATTTTGGGAATGAACTTTTTATCCCCCAACATGTGGTCTTGGATTGCTTTGCCAAGACTGTTACCTTATCCATGCCTGATGTTCCCCTGGTGTTGTGGCAGGCTGCTTTTAGTTACACACCAACAAGGATCATCTCTTTTATTCGGGCTAGGCCGTTGATTAATTCTGGGTGTTTAGCTTATTTGGCCCACATCAGAGATCTGAGTAAGGAGGGCCCTTCAGTTGACTCAGTTACTGTGGTAAGAGAGTATGCATATGTGTTCGCTACTGATCTCCCTGGGCTACCCCCAGAGTGTGACATTGATTTTGCCATAGATATGGAGCCCGATACCGATCCTATTTCTATTGCTCATTATTGGATGGCTCCATCAGAGTTCAAAGAGATCAGTGTTCACTTAGAGGACCTCTTAGGAAAGGGGTTCATTCGTCCGAGTGTGTCTCCTTGGGGTGCTCCTATTCTGTTTGTGCAAAAGAAGGATGGGACTTTTAGGATGTGCATTGACTATAGGCGGCTGAATAAGGTGACAGTGAAGAACCATTACCGTATGCCTCGTATGGATGATTTGTTTGATCAGCTTTAGGGTGCCGTCATATTTTCTAAGATTTATTCGAGGTCTAGGAACCATAAGTTGAGGATTAGAGCAGCAGACATCCCTAACAACACATTTAGGACTCGTTACGGCCATTATGAGTTCCTTGTAATGTCTTTTGAGTTGACTAATTCCCCAGCCACCTTTATGGACTTGTTGAAACGTGTGTTCAGGCCATACCTTGATTCATTTTTTTATCATCTTCATTGATGACATCTTGGTATATTCGTGAAGCCGGAGTGAGCATGAGCAACATTTGAGGATAGTGCTCATGACTTTGAGAGATCAATGACTTTATGCAAAGTTCTCAAGGTGCGAGTTTTGGCTTGCGTCTGTAGCATTCATGGGTCACGTGGTGTCCAAAGCGAGTATTAGGGTAGATCCGACGAGGATTGAAGCTTTTCGGGATTGGCACAAAACCACTTTAGTTGCTGAGGTTCATAGCTTTGTAAGGTTAGCAAGTTACGACAGGCGTTTTGTTGAGGGCTTTTATACTAATGCAGCTCCTTTGACTCAGTTGACTAGCAAGGATATTCCCTTTGTGTGGTCGGAGGAGTCTCATATGACATTTATGAAACTCAAGGAGTTTCTTACTAACACTCCTATATTGACTCTTCTGATTGAGGGAGAGGGTTTCACAATTTATTGTGATTAGTTTCGTGTTAATGTGGGTTGTGTATTGATGCAGAAGGGGCGGGCTATTACGTATACGTCGAGGTAGCTTATGTTCCATGAGTGCAACTACCCCGCCCATGACATGATGTTTGGGGCGGTAGTTTTTGCGCTTAAGATTTGGAGGCACTACTTGTATAGAGTTCAATGTGACATCTATACTGACCAGAGGAGTCTTCATTACATCATGAGATAGAGGGACCTTAATTTGAGGCAGCGTCGTTGGATTGAGCTCCTGAAGGATTATGTCTTTTAATTCTCCATCATCCGGAAAGGCGAATGTGTTACCGAACGCCTTGAGCAGGAAGGCGGTGAGTATGTGTTGTCTAGCCTTTTTATCTGCGGGTGAGAGACCCTTGGTTTTGGACATTTAGTTTTTAGCAATAGAATGGTTCGATTACATATCTGATATTGTAGACGCGTCTTGGCTTATGTGGGATTTTAGTCTTCTTCATATGATAGGATCCGTGGTTGTCACTTTGATAATAAAGCCTTGGGGTCAATTATAGATCGAATGTGATTGGGTGATGGTGATCATGCTACCTTAGATCCTGATAGAGTGTTTAGATTTGACCTGTCGCATGTGTGTCCCGAGAGTTGGAGATTTTATACAGTTGATAATTTCTGAGGCTCATGAGTCTAGATATTCTATCCATTCGGGTACAGCGACAAAAACTTTTGTGATTTGAGATAGCATTACTGGTGGAGTGGTATGAGATAAGATATTGCTGAGTTTGTTTGTTGTTTCTTGTGCTTCTAGTAGGTAAAGGCTGAGCATTTGAGGACTGATGGTAATTTTAAGGGATTACCCATTCCGGAGGTTAAGTTGGACCGCGTTACTAGGGATTTTGTCCCTGGTCTATCGCGGACTTCTATAGGAGTTTGTAGTATTTGGGTCATCGTTGATCAATTGGCCAAGTCAGCACATTTTCTTCCCGTTCAGTCTACATTTCGTGCCAAGAGGCTGGCTCGTAATTAAATTTGGGAGGTTGTTCGACTTCACGGGGAGCCAGTTTCTATTATTTTAGATGGGGGTTCTCAGTTCACGTCTAGATTTTGGAGGACCTTTTAGAATGAGTTGGAAACCCAGGTTGACCTGAGCACATCTTTCCACCCGCAGACTAATGGCCAATAAGAGCGCACTATTCACGTCCTTGAGGACATGCTACGGGCTTGTGTTTTCGAGTTTGGTGGTCATTGGGACCAGTTCTTGCCTTTGGAAAAATTTGCGTATAAAAACAACTACCATTCTAGCATTCACATGGTCCCGTTTGAGTCCTTGTAAGGTAGAAGTTGTTTCTCTCATGTGGGATGGTTTGACTCTACAGAGCCTAGGCCGCGAGGTACAAATTTGATTTAGAAGGCTTTGGAGCAGGTGAGAGTGATTCAGGATAGACTCAGGACAACTTTGAGTAGGCACATGAGTAATGCGAATTGAAGGCATCGACCTTTGAGATTCTTTGTTGGTTATCAGGTATTTCTTTGTTTGTCGATCATGAGGGGTGTGATGAGATTTGGGAGGCGGGGTAAGCTTAGCCCCAGGTACATTGGGACTTTTGAGATACTTTGGACAGTTAGGGAGGTTGCTTATGAGTTGTCCCTACCTCAAACATTTTAAGCCATCCACCCAGTTTTCCTTGTCTCGATGCTACTCTAATATATTCCTGATGAGTCCTACGTGCTCCAGTATGATGCAGTTAATTTGGATGATTCTTTGATATCTGTAGAAGAGCCAATTGCCATCCTAGACAGAGATGTGAGGAAATAATGCTCGAGAGCCATTCCTATTTTTAGGGTCTATTCGAGGCATCGTTCAATGGAGGAGGCTACCTGGGAGACCGAGAAGGAGATGCGAGAGCAGTTTAGCGGCTTCTTTAAGCCTTCAGTTACTTCTCGACCCTTACTTTTGTGGACTAAAGTTCTTTGTAGTAGTATATATTGTAATGACCCTTCTTGTCATTTCTACTGTTTCATCTTCTGTGCATCATTTAGAGTGTTCCTATAGCTATCCCAAGTAATTTATCACTTGCTGGAACTGACAGATCGGTCACCTGGTCATTCATTTTTTTTATTGTGTGAGCTTTAGTATTTTTTGAGCTTATGAGCCTTGAACAATTATTTTCAATTAAAAGTTCAAGAAGATGACATCAGACTAAAATTCTGACGATTCCATCAATTCCTTAAGGGTCATTTTTGGCTAGTGGCATTGTCAACATGACTCCCAAAGTTTTCAGTGTGAGTTGGTGTGATTAGGCGTTTTAACTTTATATTAAAGGCTAAGTTTGACTTTAGTCAATATTCTGAGTAACCGCACTCAAATGAGAACTCCGTCACCGCGGCTAGCTCCGGAATGTCACGTTTTGTCTACTTTAACCCTTCTTTCGTGTTCTGAGGTTTTGATATTTTTCCGAGCTCTATTGTGGTTTTTGACTTATAATGACCAATGGATGCTGGACCCATATTTTATTGAGATGACCTCTAATGGAAATTTCAATTATGACATTGAGTCTAGAATGTCAACTCTTGTAGGGTAGCATATCTGTTTTATTTTTATCAGGTTTCGAACGGATTCCGAGCACCCGTCGGAGACTTTAAAGAAATTAGACAAAGCTTAAATCTGGTGCAGCACTTTAACAACCAGAATTTGTTTTTTAACGACCATATTTTTTGGGTTTATTAGCAACCAACTTTGTCCTTATAAAAGACCAATTTTAAGACTTTATGTTTTAGTTTAAAATTTTTATATATTGAGATATAAAACTCCAAATTGGGCGATTCAAAAGGCTAAGTTATGAGATTTTTCAAAGGCAACGCATAGTAGCGCTTGGAATCTTATTTGGGGAGCCGATTTGAGCTAATTGTTTTGTTTTAACTGTTGTCATAGCTCATTTTCGAGCTCAACTTTTGAAAAAATTTTAGTAGGTTATTTCATGGCGATTTTAGGTCTGAATCTAGTCATTCAAGAACCTATATTTTGGGATCTTTCGTGAGGATCATCATGGTGTGATTGATTTTGGCTGTTGGACCTTCATTTGTAGTAAATTCTTGTAAATAGTTGCTGCTATTGCTGCATATTTTTAGTGTAAAATTTGGGTTTTTTGTTGAATGTTCATGTTGGGACTGTCTTGAGTCCCGAATTGTGTTCCATTCTGGTATACAAGTTTCGCGAGATAATTAGGATATTTATTTGGGGTTAATTCTCGATTCCTCAATGCGGATCCCAATTTTCCATTTTGACCGCGAAATTAACCGATCTCCATTTCATGCGATTTGACTGTTTAAATGACCGTTATAACATTGTGACTCTATTTTTGATAGTCTATCACCGTTTTGAGGCGTTTAAGAAAGTAAAGGATCTGGGGAACTGAGTATTGGAGCACGCATTATCTGTGTTCAGGTAGGCTATGGGTTCCCTTCGTAGATTGAACTCGAATATGAGAATGCATGTTGATTAGTTGAGATTTAGGTCGGGTAGTTATTGGATCATGCATAGGTGTTAAAAATCATATTTTCACCCTTTTTTTGAGAATAATCGGGTAACTCTGAGCATGATTATTTTTATTAAATGACCTTCTTAGCTATATGTATTACTAGTATGTTTTAATACTGGTTATCAGAAGTATGTTAGGCCTTAGTTTAGGTTTGACTAGTGTTTTTCTTTAGAAATGCATGATTCAAATTCGGTATGACTTAGTTTAGCCCTAACATCGCTCGGTCGACTTAAATCCTTGTAGACTAGTATAGGAGACTTGAGTCTAATAGTTTTGTACTTAGCTAGACAATGAGTGTGCTCCAGCCATAGTTATCCTTATTTCGTCGATGTTACGACTTCTCGAGTTACATCAGTGAAAATGAATTCCGCTCGTCAATTCAAAGTTGAGTTTCGATTCAGCTTGAAGGACTTACATTGATTAGCTAAGTCTGGATGGTATTCCATGGGAATTTATGATTATGGATAGATAAAGACTCTTCATAAGCTATGTTTACATCTTTGTCGGGTATACAGATTTATGGTCCAGCCTCGACCATCCATATACTTATCTAGAGCATACGGTTAGAGGTCCGGCCTCAAGTCTGTAGAGCATACGATAAGAGTTCTTGCCTCAGTTACTTATATTTTGCAATTGGCTACTTGTGAAATTATGGAGAGCGTCTCGTTCAAGGCCCAACCTCCGTACCGTCATATTATACTATTTGGTTTGGTGTTCTTTTTCCTTGAGTTCTATTCTCCTTAAGTTATAGTTACTTTGTGAACTCGTCAGGCTTATGAGTGTCCGTTCGAGTATTTATTTAAACTTGCTCACGAGTGTACTTTCTGAGTGTATGGGGGGTCCAGTTAGGTGTACTTATCTTATCTATATTAATTTAGTTAGATCTTTATACACTCGTGTGCATTCCTGTGTTACTTAGCTTTCTGTTCTTGATCTCTAGTTATGTGATTCCGTCTTTTCATATTGCTTTACTTTTCTAGTTCAGTCGGCCTATTATGACTACTGGGTACCTATTATTTGGTACTCATGCTACACTCTGCATCGATTTTCGTAATATAGGTCTGAGCACCAATATTCAGCGTTGATCAAGTTTGGAGCATTTCTGTTCTGGAAACAGGGGTGAGCACACAACGTTTTGCAGTATTTCAGTCTATATCTGTTTATATTTTGACTTCTCTTTAACTTTTCGAGACAGTGTAGTTTCGATTTTCCACTGTTGGGACTTGGTCTCGTTTTTTTGGTAGCTCTATATTTGTGACTTCAAGGTTCTAGGAGGGATCCTTAATTATATTTATGTTTTGGTTTGCTTTTGTTGCTATAGTAATTTTACTTAGTCTTGTTTAGTTTCTAGCCTCACACCCATTACGTGATGTTCTGGGTTACAGTTTGACTTACCTACAAGTGGGTTGTAGTAGGTGCCTTCATGGATCGAGAAATTGGATAGTGACACCATTGCACTAAGTAGGACGTTCCTAATGGGATGTCTAGGTGCCAAACCTTCTAAAAGAAATTGCTACATAAGATAGGTGGATATACGGAACGCCATATACACATTGCGCTAAGTAGGCATTTCAAAAGGGAAGTCATTGGTGTGTTGTTGAGTGTTCTTCTTATGTATTGTCATTGTGTTTGGGCTTATTCTCCCAAGATGAGTAAATCAAAAAGGGTTAGTATTTAGGATTACTTTAGTGTGCATTAAAGGATGCATATGCGCACTTCCATCAAGTCTTACCTTGGCGATTTGTACGATAAACTTTGTAGGGTAACTCTTACAGAAATGAGTTCACTTCCTCATTGGAAGTACCTTTGAAGTTCACTTTTTTTTGAGTGAAAATGGGTTAACTGTAATGTTCTAAACAGTTCACTGTAAAATTGGGAAGTTACTGTAAAACTTCTTTCTTTTGCAAAAATCATTGAAATACTTCTTTAAGTGTTAATGATGTTTCTTATATTGTTTTACTTCTATTATCATGAATGTTTACTTAATTTGCATGAAAATGTATTTTTACTAAAATGGCCCTTTTTGCATGTTTTTGCATATGGCATACTTAGTACATTATTTTATACTAATCCCATACTTTTCTATACTAAGTATATTCGTGGGCATAGTCCTTCTCTCAGTTTCTTTATTTAAATACTTATTATGTATTTCTTTTTAAGGGAAAGGTTGAGGCCCCAAGATATTAGTCATGTCTTTAAGTTGGATTGCCACGATGAGATTCTCTAAGTATTTATGAAGATGAGATTTTATTAAATATCTCTAAAAGTTTTCATTCTGCTACTTTTCATGTCTTATGTAATTAAAGATAGTTAAAGGGCTTGTACAAGACCCCTGAGCGTCAAGTAAGCCTTGCCACAAACCGAGGATTCTCCCTAACTTCTAGAGGGTACTTTCGGGTTGTAACAAAATTGAATAACCAAGGACCTTGCTAGTATGAACTCAAGTAGGTTACTTAGGATAGATGTAAGTAATGAACCCACCTAGACA